GTCCCCCTCAGCCCCTTCCCCCGCTCCGCCTCCCTCCTACACCTCCCTCCTCCTCCTCTGGTCCCCTCCCCCACCTCCCTCCCCCGCTTCGTCATCGGCGCCGTCCCGAAGAACTTCGCGTCTCATGTTAACTATTATAGTTAACATGTTAACTATTATAGTTCACACATTGAGCTCAAAATATATTTATGAAATTATAATAGTTAACATGTTATCTATAACAGTTAACATGAGCTGGAATGAGCTGGTATGAGAAAGAGAAAGGGTAAAATTAAGATTTTAGGAGCTAACATGTCTAATTATGAGCTGGCATGTCTAATCATGAGCTGTAATCATGATGGAGGGCCCTGGACACAGTTTTTTTTTTAAAAAGGGGCTGCAGCACATTAAAAAAATATGAGGGGCTGGGGCATATTGGAACTTGAATTTTGTGGCCTAGAAGCAATTTTCCTTCTTTTTTTCCTCAAACACAGAGTTTACCTTTTTAACCACGTTGGTATCCACTGACCAGGTTAATGAGGAGTTGCGAAAAAGCCCTTAGATCTCACAAAAGATTGACATGATCATTGGCCTGATGCAGGTTAGCTAGATAAGTTAGGGGAGGTTATTGGTAAGGACAAATTGGGGCCAAGTGGGAAAATTGTTCAAATAGAACAATTTTATCTCTTTGGGAATTTTTGAGTGAGGTAAAGTGGGATAAGTGAGATAATGAGACAATTTGAGCATTTGATTTGACAATTTATATAGGATAATTGATGATGTTGCACCTTATTAAAATATAATTTTATCAATTAACTTCTAAATTAACTTATCCAATTGGTTTATTATATTATTTAGTATATTACTATAATATAAAGATTATTTTACTTTAAATTAAAATATAATATGTGTACTATAATTATTAATTAATATTATTAATTATTATATTCTATTATATTATATTAGCATGTTGTACTATATAATAATTAATATAATATAAGATCAATATATTTAATATAATATTTTAATAATATAATATTTAATATAATACATTATTTTATTTATACAAAAATATAATATATTATACTATAATTACTAATTAATATTATTAATTATTATATTATATTACATTATATTAGTATGCTACATTATATAATAATTGATATAATATATGAACAATATATTTAATGTAATACTTTAATAATATATTATTTAATTTAATATATTATAATATAGTATCATAGGATATAATGTACTTTATAAAATATTATAATATTTTACTTTATTCAATGTAATATTTTTTAAAATTTTATATTAAAATTAAAATATAATATAACATATATATATTACATGATAATTACAATAATATATATTAAAAGGTATCATGTTATAGTATAATATATTATATTATTTCAAACTATAGTATTATATTATATTATATCATAATATTTTACTAATATTAGTAATTATTATATTATATTATAATAGTATGTCATATATATAATAACTATAATAATATTTTATAAATTAATTATATAATAATATATTATATAATAATATAATATAATATAATCACATAACATGATTTATATTATATTATATTTTATAATTAAATGTAATATACTAACATATTTATTACTTTTAATATGTTATATTATATTATACTATATTATTATATTGGTTTAATATATTACACTATAATATAATTACTACAATAAAATATCAAGTATAATTAATATAATATATTATATAATAATATATGTTATTAAAATATTATATTATAATAAATATGTTGTTTATTATATAATATAGTATGTGATATTTGTTAGACCCTAGAGGGGGGTGATTAGGGTCTTATGCTAATCTAATCCGATTTTATGCCAATTAAAACTAATTAATAAATTATTCTTGTAAGATAAATATACAATATGTTATGAGCAAGAATATGCAATATAAACAAAGAGATATATCCTATATGGTGAAATATATGCAAGGATATATAAACAACACAATGGTAAACAATCTAAACTAAAGATACAATTGTGATAGGGTAATATAAACAATACAAACACACAATATGATCACGGAGTTCGGACCTTCCATCCTACGTCTCTGCTCCCCACTCCCGGGGAGAAATCCACTATCACAACCGGGTTTTTTACATTCATTCGAATAACGTTTACACCTCACACTCGGTTTTCTAGCTAACCGAAAACTTTACAATCAACACTCTTGCAATCTCACTCTACACCCTCTCAAGTGTTGGACCTAGACGTCTCCCTCAAGTGCTTGGATACAACCTCTCCTTAGGTTCGTCAACCGGCGCCACTCCTCTTGGGACGATCCTCGACTTACACCACACACTTTTCTCGGTGTACAAGTGTATTACAAAGTAAATCTCACAATAAACACAATACAACAAATGATTGTTCTCTAATATGGATGAGAAGATAATGTAAGCTCACACTCAATTGTTACAACTCTCACCAACCCAAATATATAATGTATGCAAATACAATAAGCTCAAGTGGGCAGGGGCGTAGCCAGGGCAGTCTTGCCCTGGGCAGCTGCCCAGGGCAAGAAACTGCCCCACTTCACCTCCCCCTCCCGCCTCCCCTCGCTTCCCTTCTTCTCCGGCCACTTCACCTCCCTCTCCCGCAGATCCAACCTCCTCTCCCTCCTCTTCCAGGACCTTCATCTCAACAATCCCCAACCCCTCCTCCCTCTCCCGCGCCTCCCTCCTCTCCCTCACCGAGCTCCTCTCCCTCCTCCGTCGCTTCAAGTCCCTCACCGCCGACCACCTTTATTTTTCGTCCAGGGCAAAAAATATTTCTGGCTACGCTACTGCAAGTGGGTATGTGTAAACAATGAGTGAAATCAAATCAACTAAACTCAATATAAAACTAGCTTTAATAAAATGATAATCAAACAAATAGATGTAAAGTTAGAAATAGAGTTTAGAAAACTTCTCAATAGATCAAGAGGTAGAGGGGGAATAGTTGAATGCCCAAACACCAATAGATGATCTCCTCAAGCTCTTGTGAAATTGATTTCACAAACTCAAACTTCCAAATGCTTAAAAGTTTCTTAAACAAACTTAAACCAAACTTAAACCCTTGTTCAAAACTCTTTAAACATGTTTTAAAAACACTCTCTTAGTTGTTATGAGAACTGAGATCAATGGGGTATTTATAGCCTCCCAAAACCTCAACCAAAAACCCAAAAAAAAGACCAAAAAGCCCAAACAAAAGACCAAAAAGCCCAAACAAAAGACCAAAAAGCCCAAGAGAAAACAACTCAGAAAAAGAGCCGTTGAAGCAGATTTAACTGTTCGGCGGTCGATCGCGGCGGTCGACCGCAAGCAGCAAAAGGCAAAAATGAGGCTCTGGAAAACAGGCGGTCGACCGTGGCGGTCGACCGTGGCGGTCGACCGTGGCGGTCAACGATCGACCGTCACGATCGATCGCGAGCCAACAAAAACCATACTGAGTTTTTGAACTCAGGACGGTCGACCGTGGCGGTCGACCACAAACTGATATATGACTTGAACAGGTTTTGAAAACAGTTTTTGTGACCTGAAAACCCTGTTTAAAAATATCAATTAAATTCCAAAAATTATGAAATTTTGGAAAATAATTGTAGACATGATAATAAACATGCTATAAAAACTGGTTTTTAAAAAGGATCTCCCAAATAAAAAATATTATTATTTTGCAAAAATAGTCCAAAACATGAAAATGTAAACATATGAGTTTTGACATTTTAGCTTAACCATGTTTTGAAACATTACAAAATAATTTTGTAGACTTAAAAAAAGATGTAAACTATTGTTATGAAGTCTATAAACAATGAATATATTATTTTATAAAAATACACATATAATGCATTAAAACATGATTTCATTGAACTAAAAAAATTGATATTGATGAAATCATATATATGCATGTAAGTATGAAACAAAAATATATTTTCTAATTATATTCAATTGTTTCATATTAAAACTTGAAAACTATCAAACCAAAACATATATGTATATATAACTATATATATACAAAACAAAAATGTGTATGTGTGTATATGATTGAGCTTAAAGTATCAACACACATAATATAAAACCTAAACTAATTATACCTAAGCTTGTGATCTTCAACGAAGCTCTATCTTGGTACACTTGCGGATGAAGCTTGAACTTGGATCTTTAACTTGAATTGCGTAGCTTCACTTCACAATTCCGCCAACCTCCATTGGATATGATTGTGAATGCATAATTCCATCCATCCTCCAACCTGTTGTTTGCCTAGAATAAATACGAAAACACAAACACTGGACAAACAATATTAGATGTAAATTGCTTGCTAAACATCATCAAAATAAGAATGCCAACAATATTGCATAACAATATATAATAAATATCATAAAATAAATTATGCATATAAATTAAACTATAATAATATTTTATTTTATTACATGATAATATAATATAATATATTGAATATATTATTACTTTATATTTTATCTATCATGTCATATATTTATAATATAATTATTATGTATTAGTTAAGTAATACAAAAAGGTTTGAAAATTATCCCAATTGCCTTCAAAGTGGAACAAAATCATTCCAATATGGAGGATGAGGTAAATTTTTACTATTGTGACAAATTTTTTGTATATGAGTGAGGTAATTTTATCCCAAGTGGTGAAATTATCTCACTAATGTTCTAAAAAACCAATAACACAAAAATGTAATATCATTGTTCCGTTGTCCCAATGAATACCGCATATGACACAGAACATAGCACACGAACTTATTCAAATGTACGAGGACATTATCTATATCTATGTGGCATTTTTCTTATAAGTCTTTCTAAGTGCCAATATATTTGGACAATTTTTTTTTAATACGCAGTGTAGATAGACAAGTTACATGGACTTTATAGTTTTGGAAAAAAAAATTATAATTTTACCCATAAAATTTGAAAAATGCTCTAAAACCCATGGTCAACTCCTTGGGCCTCAAGCAAGCAGCTCTCCAACGGCCGAGCGAGGCGATCGGCCCACACCAGGAAATGACCATAATACCCTTACCCCAACCTCTTGTCTCTTTATAAAACCCGTTCTTTTCCGAGGGCAAGAAGGGCAAGATGGTCCTGCCATTGGTGAAGCTCGGGACGCTCGCACTGAAGACGGCCTGCAAACCCATCGCGTCGAGGTTGAAGAAGGAAGCGGGTCGGCATCCCAGGTTCCGAAATTTCATCGTCAACATCGCTCAGGTCAAGCCCCTCACTTTTTCCAATTTTGCAAGTTTTACCCTTTTTTTTTGTTGAGAAAGTGGCAATTTCTAGGGTTTTAGACTCTCCTCATTCTCCTCATTCTCCACATCAAAAGAAATTTCCGCCTGTTCGTTATCAGTTTGTGTCTGATTCTTTGATTTGGTGATCACGGGTGAAATCTTGAGGAGTAATTTTTTTTTTAACTTTTTCCCTTTTTTATTTTGTTACGATTATTAGGGTTTATTTTGTTGTTGTAAGCTTTATACCTGTTGTTAATATTGGATTTCCAAATTTTCCCTCAAATTGTGTGACATTCTTTGATCTGGTACGTACATTGAAATCTTGATGAATAATTTTAAACTTTTTTTTTTGAATTTGTAATCATCCAGGAGTTTGACTGAAAAGTGAGCAAAAAACCTTCTCATTGGGCAAAATGGCCATATTGTTATATTTTGTAGAGGTTTGGTGACATGTTGGCAAGGTTTTAAATATCGGTTATCGGGGATTTATCGGACGGTCAAAATCCTTATCGGATAGCGGAAATCGGGGATATATCGGGGATAAGTAGTATTTATCGGAGCGATATACTGGATCATGTATATATAAAATATAATAACTAAAAATGTTATCTAACCATGCTTAATAAAATATAATAACTTTATTTATTTCATCACATCATAAAATTTTATGCCTAACATCAGTCAGTTTTATTTTTGTTGCAGACTTGAGTTCAAAATGACATCAAGATTCCAAGGAATGAATGAACTAAAGAAGACAACTTAAAACAACAATTGTAAACTATCTGCAGATCCAAGTTGTAAAACTAATTGCAGATATAAGTTTGCTATAAATTAATTGCAGTGAAAATTAACTGTAATTAAAATTAAATTTGCTTATACATTACAGTCTCACAAATATTTTCTTAAAATTAACTACAAGACTTGTAACTAATTTCTTATAAAGTCTTACAACAAGTCACAGTATTTTAACACAGATATATGGGGAAATCCTAAAACTACATAGAAATTCTTACAGAAAAGAGTTATAACTATTAAGTTATGTATGATGAAATTGACAAACATAGATCAACGTGTCTTTTCAAAGAAGAAAAAGAAAAAATGGAAGAAAAAGAAAAAAAAATAAACTTAAAAGGAAAAAAGAGAGAACAGTAATCAGAATCAGAGGAGAAAAAAAAAGAACTTAAAAGAAAAAGAAAAAAAAATGAACTTAAACGAAAAAGAGGAGAGAACAGTAATCAGAAATTCAGAATAGATGAGGTGGGAGGCAAGCTTAAAAGAAAAAGAAAGAAGAGAAAAAAATGAACTGAAAAGAAAAGTGAAAAAAGAAAGTCGAGGTCGGGGAGGCGAGTATATACCTGTTCGAAGAGGAGCGAGCGATGACGGCGAATGCTAGGGAGCTGCGAGGTCGAGGAGCTCTGAGCTGCGGAGCTGCGGAGGTGAGCTCTGAGCTGCGGAGGTGAGCGGAGCTGCGATGTCGGGGAGCAACGATGATGAGGTTCACGAAGTCGAGGCGAGGTTCGCTGGAGATTCATGAAAGCGAGACCGCACGGGGTTCACGAAGGCGAGACCGCACGGGGTTCACGAAGTCGAGGCGACGAAAAGGCGAGGACGAAGAGGCGACGACGAAGATTTGCTGGAGAGCTTCGTCGTCGACGACGAGGCGATGAAGAGGCGAGGACGACGAGGCGACGAAGAGCTTCGTCACGACGACGAGGCGATGAAGATTTGCTGGAGAAAAAGGCGACGACGAAGAGGCGACGACGAGCTTTGTCGGGACGAAGAGGCGAAGAGCACAGCTGCCAGAGATTAGGGCTTGAAGGTCTGGAATCGGGTTTGAGACTTCGAGCTTTCGTTTTATTGTGAAAACGGGTCGGGTGGGTTTAATATCTCAGCAACCTAATTCACTCACAAACCCGATAAACCTGACAAAAAATGGAAGTTATCGGGCGCTATTAGCGGTTGTCAGCGATAAATCGCCAATAATTGGTCAAAAACGCTAACCGATTACAATTTCCTGTTATCCTAGCGGCAACCTGAAAATTCCGATAAATCACCGATAAATCCCGATAAATCGCCGATATTTAAAACACTGCATGTTGGTATATTTTTTCTTTTAGTTTTGTCAGATTGGTATATTTTGTCGACTCCGGCGTCATATAGGCCTTAAGTTTGGCCGGAGTTACTGTTCCGACCAGTGCTGACGGGATTTCTTACATAAAACCCCCTTCATTAAAACCACATCATGCTCCTAACCCCCTCCTCCTCCTCCTACTCTCCCTCCTCATCATCCTCTTCAACCTCCCCCTCTCCCTCCTCCTCATCATCCTCTTCCTCCTCCTCATTAAAATTGGGTTGGGATCACGGGCTTGATGATGAAGAACGCTAATAACATTTGAAGTTTTTACCTGCAACTCTGGAAGCACCCTGGAGCAACATAACACTCACAGCCCAAAGCATCAACTCGAGCAGGAAGAATCCCCCAATCCACAATCCCCCAATCTTGGCTCAAAACCCACATCCAAAATCACATTCCCTAGCTTCAACCTATGATGCAAGATCCCTGGGCTACACTCAAAAGTGCAAATAGCTCAACCCTTTCACAATGCCAACTGCAATCCGATGTCTTGCATCCCATCCAAGGCTCAATTGGAGATCCCTTTGCTGAATTGAGTAATTGGGAGGATTAGGGTTGGTTCAAGAGGGTAAGTTGGAGGGTGTTGGTGGCAATTTTGGTGGAAAAGCTGACAGGGCCTTTGAGAATTGGGGTGTGGTTAGCAAAGAGGAGGAAGAGTCCAATGAGGAGGAGGGAGAGGGGGAGGTTGAAGAGGATGAGGAGGAGGAGGGAAATGGGGGGAGGAGGAGGGGGTTAGGAGCATGATGGGGTTTTAATGAGCAGGTTTTATGTAAGAAATCCCGTTAGCATTGGCCGGAACAGTAATTCAGGCCAAACTTAAGGCCTATATAGCGCCAGAGTCGACAAAATATACCAATTTGACAAAACTAAAAGAAAATATACCAACATGTCACTAAGCCTCTACAAAATATACCAATCTGGCCATTTTGCCCTTCTCATTGTTATTAAAGAACGGGCTAATTAGCAATGTGCATTCGTTTTGTCACGTGATTTGAGGAGGATTTGAAGTGAAGCAGTTCAATCGACTCGAAACCGACAGTTGATATTGTGACTAATGATAATGAGTAATAGAGGGGGAGGATCTGAGATTTGAAGTAGCAAATGTTGAGTTCATAATGTTATAGCTGTGAAAAATCAAAAAGAATTTTTTGATTGAAATCTTGTTTAAACCTTGACTTAGACCCCATACCGATGATTTTAATAATTAACTATGAACCGCTGAAACCATTGAAACTCCCATACCTCTACACTTTAAGAAAAATAGGACTTTGATTATTACTAATTTGACAACTTTTAGCTAGTTCTCTTCGTTGCTTGATTCAGACTGTCACATATCCCTTCTACTACAATTGAATTCCTCGCAAAACACTAACATCATTTTGAACAAAATGGTATATTTCTAACAACGTGACACATGTCACACACTCCATTCATAGCCCATCTAGATGGTAAATTATAGTTCAACTCAGCCATTCAATGTCATGTGTTTCATAGGCAATGGCAAGCAAGAAAATTTCTGCGTCTTGTTGAGAAGTGAAACCCATAGCTGAAGAAACCTGTGTGCCTAGATTTACTTGTATGAAAGTGGTCAGGAACACTCATCCATCTATCACGACACAAATACGCTCTTCCGTAAAATTTGATCTATAGAAGAGTTTCAGCTGATGAAGTTTCATCAAACCAGTGAAAGACAACATCAACAACAACAAGAACAACAATATCAACGGCAAAGCCTTTATCCCAAAATTTTGTGGTTGGCTACACGAATCCTACTCTACCACTCATTTCTGTTGAGAGCTATTTCCTCCACTAAATTAATCTATCATATCTGGACAGTTTCTAACCAAGTGCTCTTAGGCCTATCTTTCTCAATTATATAGTCTTATCATGTCCTAATTGGTGCATTTAATATGAGTTGCACATGGACAATCTATTTCAGGTGATCCTCTCTCATTTTATCCTCAATAGGTGCGGCCTCTAGCTCCCAATTGTCTATCATAACATTCTCATTTCTGGTACACTCATTTTTTTGAACATGCTGTTTTTTAATTTCGCTGAAAAAGAAAAAACAATTGTTGTTGAATCGTTATCATCAGTCTGACAAACAAATTCTTGTTTCTATTAGAAAACCAGAAATAATCATTTTGCATGTCTCCAAAGGAATGATGATAGGACTGGAACCTAGTATCAAGTATCAACATGATTTGATCTGAAAAAGAATCATGTGTAAAATGGTATGCACTTCAATCTAGGTTGAGGCTGGAAGTTCTAAACTATCAGACTAGGTTTTTACTTTTTAAAGTTGTAGAGTGGACTGTATTTAGGAGAACCTCAGGAGACAGGTCACCTAGTCCTGGAACTTTTCCTTGTGTACGATGTGATAAATCCTTGTTCACTTGATCAAGGTGCTGAGATAAAAGGAAAGACAGTCTGGCAGCTATACAAGAAAGTCATTGTGTTTTCATATATTAGCTTTTCTTTTAAAGGGAAATCTGATAACATGTTTCTTCTATTTCATATTACTGCATGTGTTATAGTGAGCACATGATCTATCTATTCATTTTCACTTGTTCTATGTATATGTTTAGGCAACAACTTTAGACATAAATGATCTTACATTCTAATTTGAATGTAGATTATTCTGTTTATGGTCTTACATTCTAATAGGAATGTAGATTATTCCGTTTTCTATGGTTAAGTTCCTTTCTTTTGTGGATACTACTATAACATTTACCCGTCATAATCACTAAGAGTTGTGAATAGTTTCTTTTCACTTGGGAGTCTGACTAACTTTTTTCAATGCACTTTTCTGCAATCAGGCTAATCATCGCATCACCACTACCATACAAAGACGCATTTACGGGCATGCAACCAATGTAGAGATACGGCCTTTAAACGAGGAAAAAGCTGTTCAAGCTGCTTCAGAACTCATTGGAGAGCTTTTTGTTTTTTCGGTTATCATCATACTTAAATTCATTTTCTCTTGTTCACTGTTGCCTGGTTTAGATTAATGTATTGGTAGTTTTTACTGCCCGTTACACTGTTTCCCAGTTTTGCATTTGTTTGTATATGCAAAATAGGCAGCAATGTAACTGCTTACAGCATTATATACATCTTTTTGAAGCTGCTTTGTTCTACTTGAATCAGCAGAGGAAATTGATTTTGTTCAGGAGTATTAATTTTGGTCTTTGTCTTATTAGGTTGCAACAATCGCACTGATTTATGAGGTGCAGAGAAGTGCTAAATCAGAAGCTAAAAAGGAAGAAGCCCGCAGGCAAGAACTTGAGGTAATATGTAATATGGCTTTTTGAATCCTTTTTTATTCCTTTTTCCTGAGGAGAATCTGAAACTGCCAGACTTTATTGTTTGTTTTCTCTTACAAAGCTTACTGCTTTTTTCTGGAATCAATAAGCATTCATTTGTCATCTTCTGCTGTAGCCAAAAATTAACTTCTAGCTGATTTGCTATTTCATATAACATAGATTACGGAAGAATGTGCCTTTTTTCAGTGGAGCATGTAACCAAACAGCTTCATTAAAGAGATAGATCTAGCTCATATATATGGATTCTAAACCTTTATCTTCTATACTATTGTTTAAAAGAAGCCCCTCTTTTGGTTTGTTTGAGCTTAATTTTGAATTCTGAATATTTCCTCATATTTGTAAAAAGGGATATCAACTCACACTTGGAAAAAATTAGTGGAAGTGCCCTCATGCCTGTGGAAATATTCTTTTGCAAAATTCCAGAGTGAATGACATTGCAACCTTGAGCAAAGAGAGGAGGTGCCAGTGTTTTACTTTTCTATCACCAAGTCACAGCGATTGTCTAATTACACATTTTCAAAGCGCCATTGTTAATGGAATTTAGTGACCTGGACTACACATGAGTTAAAGGTTCCGTTCTTTTAGGTGTAGAGGCTTTTCCACCGTAGTTGCTATGTAAATGATTTCATGAGTCTTGAACTATTGGGCATCTCCAGCACTCGTCATGATGAATTGGTATGATCTATTGTTACTTTTGCATTTTCTAGAGTATCCTCCAGGCACTCATATAACAGTGATAAACCATTCATGCTGCTTAACAGCCCTGATTGGACCTAATTCATCTGTATTCAGTTTTCTCATGCAAGCTTCTGCATATCTATGATATTCTATTCATTTGAGGCAAATTTGCTCCAAATTTGTTATCCATACATACAGAAGATAATATTAACCTGCACCTCGGTCTGAGGAATAGCTTTCTAGTAGGATTTTAGAAAAGAGAAGGATCCTTATTCATATAGGATTCGGAATAGAAGTTCATAGAGTTCCAAGATTTTCCAGAAAAGTTGCAGTATTCTTCTTATTCTTGATTTATCAAGTTATTCGGTAGCAGTTAACTGTTAATAAAGCTATGGGTTTCACAAAATATTTCTGATTTGTTTATAAAGTAGTAATTGTTTAAATAAAAAAACTTATGGCTTTTATAATTGTGTAAAACTGTAAATAAAGAAATATGAATAGTAGAATTTACCCGCCAATGTGGTTGCTCCTTTTATCTTGCATTGTTTTTTACATTAATTTTTTTTTCAAGGCTATGAAGCGAAAGGAAGCTGATCTAGAACAAGAGTTGGAGACACTGAAAAAGAAGCTAGAGGAAATAGAACAACTTGCCAGAGGGCGAGGACTTTCGGGTATTCTTAACATCAGGCACGGCAATGGCAGCAAGAACCCAACACCTGCTTGATGAAGTCATAGCTGTGACAAATTCAAAAGCAAATGATATTCGAAAATTTGATGTAAATGAATCGAGTCTTTTGCTGTTTCTGTACTTTACCTGCCATTTCCAATGCATATTGCTGCTGAGTTTTTGTAGCAGAAATTCACTTTTGGGTTCACTTTGAACCTAAGCCATTTTTGAATGATGAATAAATGGTTATCTTCAAGATGATCATGACATTTTGTATGGTGAAGTCAAACTTACAGTTTGTATAAAAAAAACTATGGCCTTTGCTGTTTTGGATTTGATTTGAATCATTCCCTTCTCAAGTTGCTGTGAGGGGAAAACTTCAACTCCCTGGCTGTTTTCTTTTTCTTTTTTCTTTTCTTTTCTTCTGCCCTTTTATCTTTACCTATTTTTTTGACTTGAATTATGCTACGTTGCTACTTAGATGTATATTTTTCTGTATTGTATGGACTTAGAGCATCTCCAACAGCGTCTTCATCTTCTCAAAATACTTAATTTTGGGGAATATAAAGTTATTTTTAGGTCTAACAATTTGTCCTTCTCATTCCCTAAAATGAGGATGAAGAAGAGAAAAGACGGTCTTTCCCCAAATCTGCAATATTCTATAAAAATTCTTTCTTCTCCAAATTCTTGAAAATAACATTATCATAAATATTTCACATTTTCCAAAGAAGAAAAAATATATATCTAATACTTTATTGAGTTTTATATTGTTATAATAAAATATCAAACATTTATTTTCTTAATTATTATTATGTAGGATGTTTTATAGTTGTAATAAATGCTTAAATCCCTAAAATGGGGAAGCTATTGGATTTGGAGCAAATTTTGTTTAGAGAATTTGGCATTTTGCTTCCCAATTTTAGAGAAATTATGGTGAAGTTGTTGGAGATGCTCTTTATTTAATTCCTACCTCGATGGGGCCAGAGGGTCAAATTTTGGGCGCCTCTTAACATTTCAAGCTTCATAGATTACACCCAGCAACAAATGATTAAAATATAAACAAAATTGGACCAGATTTCGTTATATCTAAGAAAACAGATTTCGCGTTTGAAAAAAAAAGTTAATAAATTAATGTGTTCGAAAATTGCCAACAGTTTCTAAGACAGCGCGCCACTAGCAGCTTAAATTATAGCTTTTAAAATGATGAGAGAGAGTCAGCCAATGCTAAACAATAAGATCACCGATATTGATCAATTATTTAGAGTGTTGCTACGGGGACCCAAAATATGGGACCAATGGAGGGGACAGGTGAGGTGTCCCCTCCCTATTGCATAATGAGTTAGCACAACCAACTCATTATGCAATAGGGAGGGGACACCTCACCTGTCCCCTCCATTGGTCCCATATTTTGGGTCCCCGTAGCAACACTCCTTATTTATAGGTACTCCTGAAGCCATATTAATCACAGTACACATAGCTAATTGCAACCAATATGCATCATCATCAAGGAATGCTATTTTCTTATATAAAAAAGGGAATCCTATATTTAAATACAACCAATTGCAACCAAGTTTTACACAAATTATGACACAACGATTTCTACTTTCACAATAAACATGGTCTTTTTCCCTGATTAACTTTACAAATCTTGAGCAACCCTAACTAATCTTTTCAGCCAGAAAATCTCCAATCTTTGCTCGCCAGTAAGGAGTGGAAAAAAAAAAGTTCTAGGTCAAGCACAAGTGATCCTTCACAAAGCAAGGCACCAAAATTTCAATTTCTCACTGACAGCTCCAGAAATTTCTTTGATGAAACAATTGATGGTTTCATAACAGAAATCAAGAAGCTTCCAACCCAATAAACCGAGCATCTCCGTAGGACATTCTTATCATTGTTGACTTGCAATAATTGGGCGTGGCCTGACAACATTTAGTGCAGTAGCCTATCATTCGAAGGAAAGAAAAAGTGTTAAGCCATAATTCATTTCCTCTTTAACATAACATTTTCCAGCAATTAAACAATAATTCACCTCAAAAAAGGAATTGAAATTCAGCCGCATGAGGAACTGCCGAAGAAAAGGCGCTCTTTGACTTCCAGCAAGGCGGCTACTTCGAAGTATGGTGTACAAAGAATTTGATTTCTTGTTGAACTCCTGAGGCACAAAAGAACATTAAAGTAGTGAAATAAAAAAAAAGCAGCCATGGATAATCTTATACTTTACTATTATGAAAAGTGTGTAGGATGTTAAAACATTTTCTCTCCAAAATACCCTCCAACTTATGTTAATACACATACACTCATACATACATAAAAGCGCATGCATACATACATAAAATACATGTATACATACACAAACACACATATCTTTCTTCATTCAATTCCTTCTATTTATTGCACCATCATTATTGAAATAAACATAAAAACTAATATTTATAATTAAATATAATGTTATTAATTTTTTTTCATATTGATTTTATATAAAATAAGATAAATAGTTTAATTTAGGCACTAAATATTATATGATAACTGAATAGTATAAGTATAGAATATAATTATCAAATAATATCTGCATATTACATAAAGAGTTCTTCACATATTGGAGATGAAAATATCCATTTTTGTTGATAATATGCTCCATGTTCTTATTACATGTCTATATGAACATCTTGCGTTACAAGCCAATCTAAAATTATGCTAACACTTTAGATGGTGCAAATAGGTAAAAGGAGAAAGGCATGAAAATAACAATAAAAATCACTCACTCATAACCTCTTCACATTTATATGCTAACAATTAATGACCTATAAATTTTCCATTTAGGCACTCACCCATAACATCTCTTGTATAAAATACCTCTTAATCTCACCCATTAATCGCCATCAATAACCAATCGAATTCCCTCACTCACTCTCACCATGAATCAATTTCCTCCACTCATATTTTTCATAGCTTAATGCACATGATTGTTTTCATAACCGCTAATTAAACATCATCAGTTTCATAGCCCCACTAATCCTACTAATACCCTTATTAACCAAAAACTAATTCCAACCGATCAAATTCTTGTAACCTCTCTTCAATCATTCTCCTACAAAATCACTCAACCCATGTAATATCCATCCATTGAATCTTCAATCAGACAATAAAGGTCCATCCTCTCAAAGCTCAGTAATCTATCAATCTCTCTCTATCAAAAGACAATCAAGGTTCTTGCTCTCAAAGCTTGGTAATCTATCAATCTCTCTCTATCAAAAGACAATCAAGGTTCTTGCTCTCAAAGCTTGGTAATCTATCAATCTCTCTCTATCAACGCCTCTGCTGGCCTTCGTCATGAGCTGCCACAATCCTTGCACATTCTCTTCTCTCGCGTAAACATTAAAGAGAGGAAGGAGAAAGGGGAATGATTAATGAAAACAATTTTCTTTTAAAAAATAATTAATTTAGAGGTGATCGGCTTGTTGGAAAGTTAAATTAGTGTTGGAGCATGATCTTGATGTATGAAATGTTTTGGGTGATCTTAGATTTTGTATCTAATTCTGAGTTGTTTTCATCATCAGATATTTCTTGGAGAATTTGTATGTTTCAAGCGCATTGGTCACTTGATAATTCATTTAGAACTTGAGCTGATAGTTTGAAATTTTTGGATTTGGACTGCTAAATCAAAATGGTTGAGTTATATGCATATGTACGCAATGCTTGTGCGTGCGCGCACTTACTAAGTGTGAAGAGCAATTTATTAAAAAAAATATTTTACATAGTACAAAAGTTATTTATTTGTTTTACAGTACACATTTAATTATTTAACTAAAGATAATAAGTTTTAATTAATACAATTAAATAAATTATTATTTGGATTTATAAATAATTAAATAAAAAAATTTCTATTGCAGTTAACTAGCGGAAGGTCCTCCCCCAAAACACAAGAAGCTCATGTGTATGAACCATTGATTGTTTTATTATTGTTTATTTCTAATGCATTAATTTTGATTGGTAAATTGGGATTGATGGAAGATTATGTATACTTAAATGTATTTATTCAACAAATATAATAGTTAAATATCTAAATAATTTACTATTATTACGTGAATTATTTATATATGAATGTATTTATTCAACAAGTATAATAGTTAAATATCTAAATAAGACCCTGTCTATTAGTTGGGAAAAAAAAAGGATGGCAATTCACAAAAAAAAGGCCACTACAAGATATTGCAAATCAATGATAATGGAGTTATTTTCAAATGCTAAAAATAACCTTCTTATTTTTCAATCAATTAATACATAAAGCCCCTAAATTACTTTAATTTGGCCCTTCAATAATTTCATCTTCATATTGTCTGCGAAGAACCACTGGCTGTGTTCGAAATCCTCAATGGAGCTTCCAACAAATTTTATGTCAAGTTAATCTCCATAACTGAAATAAAATAGGCCAAATATCATGATGCTACTTGGTTATTTCAGTTGTATAACCAAGGCTATGGGCAAAACGTTTTCACTGCAAGCTTTACTCTATTCTCCATGTTAGATAGTCTATGTGAGATAGAAATCTTAAATAAAAATTCATTATGGACTTATACTGACCCTTCTCAAATGAGAAAATAACCTCATAATATTTCCCTTAAGAGTTGTACACGTGCAACGCTCGTGCACCATACTAGTGAAAAATAAGCAGCTATCAGGCAATCAATGGTTAGTTATATCTGGAGAATAGTAAGTGAACAATAAGAAAATAATTTTGACAAATAAGCCAGTTAATCATGTCTCCATGCTACTTTTAGAAATAAAAGATGGGTAATTATCTTGGGAGCACAAATAGCATTGTTGTCAATGTGATTTATGGCATGACAGTTGATGAGGGTGCAAACTCACTGTGGAGGATGTAATTCATGTTTCAAAAAGTATTGGACCATCTCTGTTTAACTTAAATGATGCAGGCAATTCCTCTGAAATTATCAAGAATTTAGATACATATACGACCCTAGAAACAATACAACTAGTGACAAAGTGTCCAATAATGATAAATCCAGGAAGCATAGGCAGCAGTATTATGTCACTTAATCAAGACTTGAGTAGCATGCTAAGTTACAGCGGTATCATACCCAATGACATCCTTGTTTGATACTAGCGGTTCTTTGGACTCTCCTTTGATAGATGTCTGGCACTTATTAAATGTGTCCTCAAGTATGCAATATATGTTCTACTTTTCCTTCAATTTTCTTGGACGCATAAATTACGTTGCCCATGTACTACTTTATTTGCATTATATGATTTAGATATTTACTTACTTTCATTTGTACATAAAAAGCTATGTTCTATTGCAAAAGGCTTTACAAATACCGAGATGTACAAAATTATGTAAGTTCAGATATATTTCAATATAAGAAGTGAGATAGTGATGAATATTATTTTCCCCAAAAAGATATTCTAGAAGATCACAAGAATTGATTAATTATTTTACTCCCCTTTAATGAGTGGTTTTAGACAATTATTGTAGAAAACAAACTACACACACTATATGTGCATGTAATCACACTGCTAGCAAACTTAACATATACTTGATATTAAGACAGCTAACTTATGCAACCATAGATTTCAAAATATAACAGTGATTTTATTTAGACAGTACCTCAGTGATATGTTCCAGTTCTGATAACTTTGGATTGCTTTCATAATTTTCAATATTCCAGCAGAACTGCAGACATAGTTTCATGATGCTATCAAGTATTCTAGAGACAGACCCAATATCCAGAAACGACTGCGAGATCAAAGCAGACAAGTATCTGCAAACAATACCAAGTGTCAGAATATTGCAAAATACCGATGTATATACAGTTTATTGAGAAGATCAAAAGAAATAGAGAAATGTTTTTATTTTTAATTTTTTTATAAAATGCTTAAAAGAATGGTAATACTGGATATAAATTGTACACCTTTGACGTAGTGACTTTTCTATCGCAAATAACGGCTAAAAGAATGCGTGGTTTAGATAATTTGTATGGCGATAAGAAGCAATGTAAAAAATGTGAACCTGTTTTTAAAGTATTTACAAATATTTGTCCATGTAATGCACTGCAAACATGAGTGTTTACTTTTTAATAAAGTTTAGCAACACCTGCACATAACCTCATAATTTTGCTTGAACAGATTAGATCCTTGTTATGTATGTTTGGAGATGAATATTTCAATAAAAGAAGCCCACTAAACAGCAATACATTAATGATGAAAGGAATCACATTGATAAGGAAATCCTAAAACAATTTGAAAATCAAGTTAGATATATCCTACTTCCTTTTTTTTTCTTGTCCAATACATGCATCTTGGATTGGTGATGCAGCTATTCGTTCCTATCATATTTATGTTTCAAAGGTGAATGTGAGTCCAGTAGCTAGTGATTTTATCTTCTCACTGGAAGTTTTGTTAAAAACTCTAGTACAGTATGCAAGTATGATCAAAGTAGGCTTTGGACCCGATGCCTAGAGCCTATGCGGGGCCTAGGCAGTTTTCCTATTTTTTTATTTTTTAATTACAATAATTTATAATAAATGTCAAGGTTATAGAAAGCATAGGCGCCGGACTATTGCCTAGCTAGATTTCTTTCTTCATTTAAGTGGCTGTGGAGGTTTTGTTAAAGGTTGGATATGGTAGGGGAGGAGTTTGTAGTTGGAGATCGGAGGAGTTTGGATAAGGTTGGAGGGCATGGAGGCTGCAATGGAGGAAATCACGATCAAGGCCTAAAGGTTGCAGTCCACGTAAGTGGCCCATGCTCCCCTAGACACCTCCAAAACCTAGGTGGCACTCTAGGTACTGCTTAGGTCTAGGAGGATGCTTAGACGGGCTAGGCGGTCTAGGAGGATGCTTAGACGGGCTAGGCGGATGCTTTTTAAAACATTGAGTATGACGACTCTATCATTCAACATAAAACCAATTTTTTCTAGATGGTTAGGGCATTCACAGTTGTATCTGTACGTTTTGGCAAGAGTTTGACTCATTGTTCAGGCATGTTACATATTTTTTAAAGCCAAGTCAGCTGAAAACTGGGTTAGTTTGTATACGGTTAGGTTAGGATCAGACCTCCTGGGCCGATTTTAATCAGTTTGGTTCAGGTATGCCTTGAGTGGGTGGGTCAAAACTGACCTGCCAAGAACCTGAACAGCCCAATTTCGACACCCAAGACAAACAAGATAAACATCTGTCCATATTCCATTTGTATAATATATCAACTAAAACAAGAAAACAAAAAGGATGTAGTTTATGAAGGGACTTCTAGCATACTCTTGATGGAAGGCCACTAGCTCAGTAAAATCATGTGAATTCTGCACATGGACTTGCAAAACATTCCATTGAGATTCAATAACATCAACCTGCAAAATCAATAAAATCCATATAAGCTAAAGTAATATTAAATTATGTTGTCTAGTTCCCATTTCCAGAAACTCATAGTTTAGCATAGTACGCAAATAATAAACACAGATGTGCATGATTCATGATATACATAATCGAACCGCTATGAACTCCAATAATTTCATTGCATCCAAGATGACCCTGGTTCATGCCAGGCAAGTATGGACGTTAACTAATCATCTCCTACGAGGAGATTTACCTACCACAAACACGATTTACCCAATAAAAACCAAACCTACCACAAAATGAAATCTTATGACCCAGCAAAATGAACTAACTAAAAACAAATTTATCCAGTGATCGATCTTCCCATGCAGAATTATCGAAGTAAGATGACGGATCAGTCTTCATATTACTTAATTTGGAAGGAAAGCATACAATTACCTTCTCAAACAATGTCAACTTTGCAAAGCCAGAGGTATCGATTGGAAAGGCATGGCGTCATGTATTTAGACTTAAAAGGATATAATGAGGGAGGTTCCTAATAACATAGGGATGCAACCAAAATACATGCATTTTGTTGGAGAAAATTACACATTTGAAATATTTATGGCATCTGTGTCAAGTGTGTGTGCGTGTGAACATGTTCATCTGTAAGAAAAAGTTACTTGCATATAAAACTTGTGAGGTAGCATGAGTCACTGTAGCTGATAGTCTCTGTCTCAAATTATTAAGTTTAACTTTAATCTTGTAAAATACATGTAATGCTTCCATTTGTAGAAATTTATTTCTAAGAGTTAGAAATGAAGAAAGGTAGAAAAAGCTATCACTCATACTGCAGTTAACATCTTTTTTCTCTTTGGGTGTCAGTGTTTGGTGAAGAGGGAGGAGGAATAGCCATTGAATAAAATTTCAAATAAATGGTGCAAATGTATAAGAAAGAAACAGCCATATTGTGGGCACCACCTGAATGTAAAACTGCAAGTTTCTGATCAAGAAAGTCATATGCTCCCTAACTCGCCACATTGGTCTGAAGCGTTGGCGGCGTTGATGTTGGGACAAGGAATTGCTTCGATCTTTTCGACGGTTAGCAAAGTCGGTATGATCTTGATGCATTACTGCAGCCCATGATTTCTCCAATTCCATTTGTGTTCGTTTAAGCCTGATCAAATATTGGAAAACCTTGCGGTACCTGAATCAGGATCGCTGTTTTCATACATGAGAGGCACGAAAGCAACAGATGCACAACTAACTCTATGAAAACATCAATCAAATTCTAATAGTGAAAATCACACATAACGCAAGTCTGAGCATATTCCAACAACTGTACATTTCAAAAGAAAGCTACTACCGAACTTACTTTGAAAGGACCTCCTGAGTAAAGAAGAGCTGCAAGGGCCAATCAATGGAATATTCAAGAGCAATACCATCCCAACCATCAAGTGACATTTCTGAGGAAGCTGTTCCATATGAAAACATACCCAAATTTCCATCAATATTGCCCTTCTTCTTTTGTATCTCTGTCTGGGAATTTGTGACATTAATTCCGAACGAAGGCATTCTAAAAAAGAGAGAAGTTATTTAGCATTTAATGAAAAAAGTAACAAAGTAATATGAAATTACAAATAATTTTTGGAATGCTGATTGATAATTTAAAAGAATAATCAGTCCTTAAAAAGGTACCAACCTGAGTAACACTCTTGAAAAGTACTTGTCCTCATCACCTATAGTCTTCAGTGCTGCCTGCACCACATAATGTTTGTGATGAGATTTTAATGTTTCCATTTTACTTATTTTTTTTCTTTTTTCAAATTTAAGCGAAAAATCACATCTGAGTTGACTACACAGAAGAATTAATCACAACGAAAAGATATATGCATGTTGACCCATAATCAGATAGACAGTTTAAAATTAATTTAGTTCTTGGTAGGAAAGAAAGCAATCATCGAAGAAATATTAAAGCAGGGATTACTTGTTAAAAATGAAGAAGTAATAGGATAACAGTTTGTGGAACATAAACGATCTAGAGAGATTATTTCTAGCTTCTTGATGACTAGGACATGGAAATAATATGATAATGTTAAGTGACAGGCAATTTTGCATTATGGTCTTTCACTTTGAACATCATGGATCAAGGCCTGAAGGCAAAAAGGTAATGCCAAGTAATTGGCAAAGAAGACCCACCTTTCCCCTATTCTAGAACTTTTTTTCCAATATAGGAGAATTTAGATGCCAATTGTCAGTTTAGCATTATGGTGATTCTCTAATTATGAAATTACTTGTCTTGATTGCTGTTCACTTATATATAGATGAACATGGAGAAATATCTATAGATAAATGTATATTTTAACATAAAGATATGTTTAGTTTTACACATTTTTCTTGGCCTAACATTAGCACTAATTAGAGAGGGTTGATGACAAGTTCATAACATGTCATAAATACTTAACCATGGTGCTTTGGTCCATAACCCGACCTCACTTTGTTGGGAAAAGGATTAACTGACAACAAGGACGACGATGAGATGGTTTTCCCTGATTGCCAAACTTAAATTATATTTTGTTGCTTTCTATGTGCTCACAGAAAACCAGAACCTTACACATTGCTATTGAATTATCATCTGACCGTTAATTTAGTTGCAGTTTTTGCTGAATCTGTTAGTGGAACCAGTACTCCTATTTCATATAAAATTAAACGATCTTGGCGCTTTATACCTTCTAAGCATCCCACTAGATGAGTCATAATTTAACAACTTCCTAAATACTGCCCTTATGAGTCCTTGTAGTACTATCTTAACTTGTTTGCCCAATCAGCAAGTGCTTCAAGGGTATCTATATCCATAATTTCCTCCAACTCTAATTTGTAGAAGTCAAGTTAAACTATGGAAAACAGTAATCTACACATTGCAATATGAACGGAGAAATATGACTGTATAATATAACGAAAGATATGACCAAACAGTGATTGATTCAAAACTAGACAAATACCGTGAAGGCATGGAGTCATAAACATATCAGCATAAACATGTACGTGTAGATACGTAACTGAATTTAAGCCGTTCATAACATCATTAACAAGCCTCAATCAGAACATAAGAGAAGTAATTGCACTTATAATATAACTTAAAAAAACAGTAATTGCAAACTTACCAACTGAAATGGTACCATAAGATCTGCTTCCGCAGTTGACTGACGTGGAGGTAGACGCATCAATTGACGGCTCTCCTCAAGAAAACACTAGTTGTTGCAAAACAGGATGTAAGATTTTATGGTAGGAAGTGAGGCAAACACAATTGCACTACACATAGATCAAAAAAATCCACTATCAACTACTCAATCTAGTTAAATAGTTGTTCCAGAACAGGATGTAAGATTTTTCGGTAGGAGGTGAGGCAAACACAATTGTACAACACTTATATCAAACTAAATCCACTATCAACTACTCAATCTAGTTAAATATGCGTGTCAACTGCAAGCATACAGAGAACTTAGCGATTTTATAAATAAAGATACGGTCCAATAAGCATGTTGACAGTAATTATACATAAAATATAACATCTGGTAATTTATATAATTTAATTATTTTAGTTATTTGCTAAATGTAAGTTTATAATTGCAACATACTGCAAAAACACAGAGTTTCAGTAATATGCAAAATAAGGAGGGACCGGGGACAGCTATACACATAAAATCTCAAAAATTAAAAGAAGAAGACTTTCTGAGGCACCCTTAGAAGTTACGGAGAAAAAAAGATAAGATAAAAAAAAGTTCCTCGATATTTCATTCGCATTGTGAAAACATAAATGTTAACTTCATAAAGTAAACAGAAAGGATTCCACACCTGGAAAAAGTCACCTTTTGCTAAAAGAAAGTAGTCTTTGAATGCCTTCAAGTGGCCATTCAAATCAGCACGTATAACTACAAGCTGTTATAAAGAATATAAAAGAATAAATAAGCTGATAGTTCAAGAATAACAGATCAATCAAGCTTGATCAAGCTTGAGAGCAACATCACCTGCCACAGATGATTTGCTGCAATTGTACGAATTGAATTAACAGAAGATTCAAACAACCTTTTGTGGAATTCAGTTGATTTCTGCACAAATGAAAGAAATTACAGTTATTTATCATGAGAAAATGAAATAATACATGTCAAAATTAGCATAATATATAGATCTAACAAACATGATGGAAATTGTACCTATTATAGACATATGAAATATTGACTACCAACGTAACAGAAAAACATTTTCAAAATATATAGAAGACCTTTAATTCTTGAAGCATTATCTCGATCTTATTAGCTTCAGATTGTGGAAGGAGTTCTTCTGCAATTAGATTCATTTCCTTAAGCAGCTCGTTCTGGGGAGTAAGGCCACCACAGAAACCTTGGCCTTTTTGAGATACTCTGAGAATTGGCTGGTGAATAAATGACTCCTGCAATCTGAATGAAAAACTAGGATTCCGAAGGACTCTTACTGCTTTGCCAGCAAAAAGAATTGATTCAGCAACACGCATATGTATATACTCAGGTAGCATGTCCTGTATGGATTGAAGTAATGATAGGTAAATTGGTAATCCATTAAAACTAAAAGGGTTAGTTTCGTCAATAAGTAATAATATCAGAAGATAAACATGCATCTTGGTTAATAATTGCAATATATTTAGCTTAATATTCAGCTCATTACTCCTCCTTTCTCTTCTTTTCTTTTGAGAGCAAATAAAATTTGCTCCTCCGAAATGTGCAGATAAAATAACTTTGCATCTTATAGCATAAATAGAAAAAGAAACATGGCTAGTGGATTCTGGTCTCTGGTGAAGTGAAGGGTCGAACTTATTGCAGGTTCCAAATAGACTTAATATCAGAATACGGCTTTTGTTCAAAGGGTTAAAAGAAATCCTATACATGATCTTTACATGTATGCCATATAAGATAAATCTTGCAAGCAAATATGCAGTGAAGATGATTCAGAGATGGATCTTAACATTACTTCAATTCAAATGATCTCACTGAGAATTTGAACAATGTAATACTACACATCATCATAAAGCGAGGCCATTTCCAATGAAACCAGGTTTGGCTATAGATCACAAGTTCCCATGGAAAATCTTGATCTATTTTGACCTGATGCCAATCCTTTAAATTCATGGCAATTCTGAACCATGAGAACTCTACACACGAGACAGATTGCTGCAAATCTTAGAGGGCCAATTGGTGGTCAAGAAAAAGTTCATGCAAACCTCCAAAATAGTCCTTTATTAGGAATATAGATGACACAAAAAAATACATAATCAGCATCAACTATAAGCATCAAAATGATCTTGCTATGTTGGAGAAAGAAAAAGTTGAAGGAAGGAGGATAGCCAAGGTCTGCAATATCTACAACCTAGCGCAGGCACCAATTTGCACCTACCTATTTGGCAGAAACTACATAGTGGAAATTATCTACAAATATCACTTAAAGAAAACAAAATCACCTTAGTATGAACTTTTTCCTTGCAGACAGCATTGTTACTTTTTTTCTTTTCTCGTGCTGGCCTCATTTGGCTCAACAAATGACTTTGCAGCAATGCACTATAATCCCCTAATACTGCATGCCAGTTAGTGAGTACTGGGGCGGTGCACTCTCAAAATCCTCAAGTCTGGTCCCCCGAAAAATATAAGGAACGGCACCAAATTGATTGATGAGCTCGTTATTGTATTTAGAGTTAGTTTTTAGCCTTTTCTTAATAGACGCAACTTCATACTTCTCAACACTTATACTTTAACTTTATGCTAAGCTTTTCAAATCAAAATAGCTTGTTATTTATTTTCTAGAACGATGAAATTTTATCTTTTCATAATTCTTAAATTTATACATCAACTGTGGAGAGACAACTCTAGTGTTCGTTCCCCACATTTAAGGTATACTTATGACATTATTATTAAGTTTTTGTTTGGGACATTATAAATATCTTACAATTCTCGTTCAAAGCAAGGAGAATGCTTTCTTAATATGCTCTTTGAGAACGATATCCATCCACTCTGATGTGTTTTCTTGATTTTATTGCTCTATTAATTCCAGCAACACGTGGACAGCGGAAAGATGGGCGAGGATAAAATTTATTATAACTCAAATGATACACACTAGAACAAACAAGAATTTGAGGTTTTGTTGACTATCGTCATGGTGAAGCTCTTTTATATTTTTATAAACAAGTCTGAAGTATTGTTGATGTATTCAGCATCACATTCTCCTGTATTGTAGATGTAGGCTGTCTATTAATATGTGATCTTGATTGTCAATTTTTTTATTTGTCAATTCTTAATTGTCAGTAGTCAGGAATGGAAATTTCACCCTGCACACTTTTATCAAGTGAACAGAATCATCTAAAAAGTAAAGCACACATGCATAGAAAAATGATCACCTAGACTAATGCAGACACTTAATACGGAAATGATGTCAGAGAGCAGAAGTATACCAAATATATATGAAATCCCAGGTGCCAGTCAGAGAGAGATGGATCTTCAGATGATTTATGCATCAAATTTTCAATTGAATCTGGATGAGATGATTCACTCTCTAAGTCCCCATCATCTTGTCTGCAAAATAACATAAACAATGTTTTAAGGTAATCCTGGGATGAGTTAGGGAAACAAGCAGGTCGATACTTCCAGTACAAAGCACAACAGGACTTACTTGAAATATAAAGAAAATAAAATTTGGCCAAGAAAGCAGATGGCCTATTTCATCCATTTCATGGCTACATAGTACATATTGATTTCTGTCATCAAGTCTACTAAATGGCTACAATATAAGTGAAAGCAAATCTTATAGTGGATCTTATTTGGTGATAAAATTTACTTAAGAGGCTGCTATAGTTAGTTAAGAAAGTGGATTTTAAAAAAAGCAAGAAAACTAACCTGCATATCTAAAGGGCATGTATGACCTTACATAACCAATAAAGTTGGTTAAGTATTGGTTGATCCACACGTGCTACTCTCAACCACTACCATCGACTGATTCTCATCCTGCTTTTCAAAAACCATTGCTCTTAATATTGTCGGTGTTTTAAATGTCAGCGGCCATGTCGGACATGGCGGCCAACATGCGGATTGGATGCCAAACAGCCACGACTTGACACTTTTGATAGCATATGTTGTTTTGGGCTTCATATCAGGGACATGTCGAGTAAAGTTGGACACATTGGGAGCAATTTTGGGTCTGAAATTGCACCTAATATGAGGGTTTTTTGCTTTTGCATTATTGGGTTATGGTTTTTCAATTGGTTTCATAACCTGACCCAACCTAATAACTAACTTAAAACACTTAAAACTATCCTGCGGTGCCTGATTAGGGTTTATTTTTGCCAAATCGTTTATCATCGACAATTCCTCTGCCTTTCTCTTTGAAGGGGCTTCTCCACCAGTGTTCCTCCAAGACTCTGACATTCCTCCAAGGCTTTGATGTCTCTCTCACGCTCAAGCCCTCTATCTCTCTAATTCATGGAAAACTAGGCCTTCGAAGGAAACTAGGGCTTCTAGGCCTGCCTCTCTCTCTCTCTCTCTCTCTCTCCCCCTCTCCCTCTCCAGTCTCTATCTCAATCTATAGAATTTATTAAGTATGCTTAGACTATAGAATTAATTAAGAATGCTTAAAATACATTTAGGACATTGTATTATACATATGCACACCACCCGATATATGACAATCCAATATTTAGTACATATCCCCTGACATATCCCTAATTTTCGCTATCTGACATAGATTTTAGCCATTCAACATGAACCCGACATCTGACATATAAAAACTTGAGTATTGGTTGCTAGAGTGTTGGACATCACAAAATAATTTAAAAGTTTTTCGACCTTTAAAGGGCATGTATGACCGTGTCATAGGTGCAACCAACAAATGGCAACTGTTCATAGAGAGTAACAATTCAAAACATCAAATACATTTACATTGTTAGCCTGCCAAATGATTCAGAAACAAATCTGTTCTCCAATTTAACTTCTCTGCAATTAAATATACCTCCTAATGAAGAACTCCCCATGCTGATCTTGAAGAATTCCATAAACCATCCAAGATGCAAGCTGGTTGTAAAGGACTTGATGACCATGCCAGAGGAGCCTATGCTTTGGAAAATTCAGCAAAAGAACATAAAATTTACTACCAACCTTCAAATTTTATACAGAAAAACTGCACACGAACTGTTTCTGACAAAAATTCATTAAAAAGCTATCATGACATTTCTCCTAGATAAAGATGGCAAACAAAACCTACAGAACTTTGAAGAATACATGTAACATTATAACACAAACAAATTTGCTAGAAATCACAAAGATGAATGGATCCTTCATCATTAGCAAGCTTGTTACATGTATTCCATAATTTAGTTCGGCTGCACAGACATGACAAGCATCAGAATTCTGATTCGCAGAAGTTGGAATTAAACAACTAGGTGAAGAAATCTAATAAAAGGGAAGTTTCAATCACCTTGAATTTCAATATCAGGACTTATACATGTTTACCTCACCATATAAATCTATACACTCCCTTTTTTTTCCAATCTGGCAAATGAAGTAATTTTTATCTTATGACTAATAGAGTTGTATAGACACAGCTCTTCTAAATAACACTGATTCTCATCATGTGTTTGCCTACATTCTCAATTTCAAATTATTGTGTATCACACCTGAAGATCTTCTAAATTTTCTTGTAACCATCTTGCTAAAGCAAATTTTATTACATGGCTCTTTTCCTAGATAAAGGAAGGCATATCAAATACACTGCTGTGAAGTTTTTCTCCTCTGCAGCAAGTGCAAGTTGAGGCTGTAGCTTCCAACTTAGGACATGACAATTCTTTGACTTAAACATGATTGACCACTGTATTTCTTTAGCTCGTTTAAAACAACCACAAGCAAACTCAAGCTGACATATAACACAAAATTTCTCAATTAGAATGGTTACAGGCCTTTGGAGTAGCTACATGTGAACAACAACTTAAGCAAACTCAAGCTCACATAACATTTTTTTAATTAATAATATCGATGAATCAAAAGATATTTATCCTCAAACATAAAAATAATAGAAGGTTAGTTTTCTATAAAATAGAAACCCATGTGCATGGCACAAGTAGAAACCATAACCATATGTGAGAGAATAACTAACATAATATAGACTAATACATGTGTACCTTTGGATGCATGCTTGCAACTCAGGTATCCCACAATGGCATCGTTTATGTAGAAGGTTTAGAAGTTGTCCTCCTCTAATATCTTCACGTTCAACTTCCATTATGAGCTCGTATAGTGGAGGCAAGAGAATATCAAACTGAAAGAAAGACGGTTTATGATGTTGAAAACTTGAGAAGACAACCTAAACGATATATGATGCTCTTGGTGCTTCTACCATATAAGAGATGATTAGGTAATTGATACATGTAAAGTGAAAAAGGCTTGGATATCGAACTTATGTAATATCACAAATATTGTGAAGAATATCAGCCAGTTCAATGAAGAGGGCACGGTTTATCTTATTCAGAAGCATTAAAAAATATGTAATTAAGTTAAGAGTAAACGAAAACCATTTTCATCCATATTCTCAATGTTGTAAAAAGTGCCCACCTGGGTGAATGTGGCACCCAAACTGACGCCTAATAGGCACCCCAAGTAATGCCTTGGAGCGCCTAGGCATTTTCAAGTCTGATTGCGAATCCCGCTTTGATTACTTAGCACGTAGAAAGAAAACCAATATTAAATGCAAGGCGATAAGCCAGTTTAACACAATAAAGTAGGGTTTATACCATAATCCATGGAACCATCAGTCTCCATAAACCCCCTTCTTTTCCCTATATCTCCTCCCCACTCGGGAAACTCACGCTCTTGTCTCTGTCACTCCTCTGTGCATCTCCTTCACACTAACCAACTTCTGTAATTGACACTAATGATGAATGAATATCCAAAAGCTAAAATGGGTGTGTTCAATTAAGTTTTTGTGCAGAAAATTTTTTATTAATGTTTTGTTTTTCCTCCTCTTTCTCCTCTACTTCAATCACATCTTCTTTTTCTTCGTATCACTGCCTTTGCCTCATGTTATTGTTATCGGTATCTTTGTTTGGGATACTTTTACCACTCCCTCCAACTGACATTGTTGCAGCTGTCGCCTTTGACTAAGGCTGTTGTTGTTTATCACAAACTATTTTTCTTCTCCTCCTCAAGCTCTTGCACTTAAAACGTCGCTAACAAATTGCAACAATGAACTTAAAAGTGAAACTCCTCATTGTTTTTTTCTTCCAACTAATAAATTCCTCTTCTTGACAATGGTGAAAAAAGACCAATCAACTTGAAAGCATGAACGTAAACAGGTAACACCAAAACCCCTCGACTTTGGTGTTGAGTATATACTATATGGGAATTAGGAGTTCACAAACCTTGTTCAATCCTCCAGTGATGCTAGAAAGAATGGGCAGGGGATCCGATAACAAATTCTGCTCAACTTGCAGAACGGCTGCCTTATAAACCGACAATATCTCAACAATACCATTCGCAATTGCCCTGCGATAAACACTCGATTTCCCGGGCTTCTCAGTTGAACCAGATGTTTGCTGCGCAGCAGAACTTTTCGCCACCTGTATCAAAGTTAAATTGCGAGCTGCAGTTGCAAAGCGGTTGAGTTCCCTATAATAGAAACCTAATGATACGAGCCTCTCGATCGCGCTCCTGAAAAGTGTAAACATAATGTCCATAAATTGGGGAAAAGAAAACGTTTTTTTGCTTTGTGCAAGTACAACCTATGGAAATTTCCCAGAGATTAAGCTACCAAGTTCATCTTAAATCGCTAAGTACAAGGAATTAGTACCTTTCTGATGGCTGGACGAAGGAGACATCCACGGCGAGCTTGAAGGAGGGCTCGTCGGCGTCGATTTGATGATCGGAGATGCCTAGGGTTTTGGATTGCTCCCTGGCGTCGATCACGAAGTCCCCAGTGTAACCCAAAAGGGCGAGTAATAATTCGTGTAGCATTTCGGTGTCGAGCTCGAGCTCGATTTTGCTCGCGATTTTTTTGATTAGGCGAAAGGGCCGCCGGTCGATCGTGGTTTTAAATTAGTGGACTGTGCGGAGAGGAGAGGAGGCGCGTCGAGGGGTGGTGGAGCCGGGTATCGGCCCCGGCTGAGGCCCGTTGCGCTTTTTTTAAAGTATAAAGGCTGCAAAGCCCTTTCTCTTTTGTTTATCCTCTTTTATGGTATATAACTGCAAATTAAAAATTAAACTTTGAATATGACTATTTGTGGATTGAAAAATATTTTTAGGGAAAAATGTTTCAAGGCCCCAAAACAAAAAAGCGGATGTGGCCCAGCCCCCCCAATTAACTGAAAAGAGAGAGATAGTGCTAGGCGCTCAGGAGCCATGGCCTTTGTATCTGTCCTTTCCAAAAAGGTCCATCCAAAATAATAGGGGTCTACACCCATTTAAAGAAACCAACGATGCAAGCGGCATAAACATATAAACAGTCTTTTGAACCTTCTTCATTCTGGTCAATACATATGTAGCTTTCTGATTCGTTTCCTTCACCTTTTGCCTCGCATACCCTGTACAACATATGTAGTTCTGCTCAAGCCATATATAATACATGGAACATTAGGAATAAATATTAACTAAAAGCTCACAACGTTTTCATAAAAATAACATTCCACAATGAACAGTTGGAACATAAACAATGAAAACTAACATGAAACATCTAAGGATGAGATATTGCATGATAAATATCAACCACTAACAATTGTACTATAAGCGGCTATGATAAAATTTGTACACTTAATAAAATAACTGTAAAAATTTACCATCTTATATTGATTCATAAGCCTCATAACTATCCCATACATATCCTCCTGCGCTCTTTTCTTTTGCCGCCACCATATCTTACTGTATTCAAGTCTCAATCCATATCGAGTTGAGGAACTCCTTTGCACATCAATTGGTCGGATTTGAGGTGCGCCTTAATACGGTCGCAATTGGGCTGCTATGACATTACGAGATGCGCCGTGATTGCCCTGATATTGTTTTAGCATTTGTCCACAACTGTGTTCATTCAAGAAACCTTTTGATTTCATTCTTTTACCATACTTACAGGAGATGCAAAGAGCATCCAAGGGCATCCATATGTCTCTTATATCGACAACATACTCGGATACGTTTGGGTTCGTTCTTTACAAATTCATAGTCAAATTTTTTTCGCCATGGAATAGTACTGCAAAGCTAGTCTCATTCGTTTACAGTCTCAATTGTTGCCCCTTTTCAGTTAATGTTGTGTGCCACAATTGGAGGAAGGCTGGAAGTGTTGTTGAGAATATCATCAGCTCTCATTACAACCTCACCAGACGGGAAATCATTTTGGATTCTCTCTGAATTGGATGCATTTCCTGGAGGAGGACGACTATATTCTGCATTCAAAGAGCATCACTACTGCACAAATTAATCAACCAGTGAGATATCATGCACAATATGTTATATTATCTTCTGATAATTTTAAGTTAACAGCAGTAGGACCAAAGGTAACATAGTACAACAAAAGTTAACTAACTGGGTGTAAATTAACCATGTTTCCGTAAACCTTAACATAGTACAACAAAAGTTAACTAACTGGGTGTAAAATTAACCATGTTCCCACGACAATTAACATGTTCATGTAAAGGTTAACATATCTCTTGGAAAATTAACCTATAAGAGAAGAGTAACATCTAACCATCAGAGATGACAACTATTTTTTTCCCAAGTTAACCATCCGAAACCTGAAATCACAATTGGCTTATCATCACACATAGACCTGTTCCTGACAATTCATTGTTTACTTACAAATCAATAATAACTTACATTGAGGGATTTGATGCCCATAAGGGATGGTTGAAAGTTGAAGAAAAAAATAACAAATGTTTACATCACACAAAACCCAATGTTATAAAGAGTTCATTAATTTACTTACATTCCCTAATCTGATTTTTCCTTGAACTGGAACACTCTACATTAAAGCAGCTTGCATGTGAATCTCCGTACAACCAATATTCGATTGTGCTCCAACCATGCACTTCAAATCATCATCGTTGTCAATAAAAACTGAGGTTGGGTGCCTCTCAGATTTAAATATAAAGGATAAAGCTTCTTTTAGGTACTTCAATCTTTCAGACACATCAAAATTTGGAGTTCAGTCAAAGCTTGTGTCGAACTTAGCTCACGAATATGGCATTCTTCGCCTAAAGAAACCATGCAAATCAAGTCATTGACGGCCATTAGGGGTGGTTGAAAGTTATGAGGACAGTTATGAAGGCAATTATGACGAGTTGAGAGTAATTGAGGGGATTTCAGGTGCAAAAGGGCTGTAAACAGTTGAAAAAAACCCTAATTTCATTAATGAGAGTGAGAGATAAAACTAACCAATTTATAACAAAGGATGATGAAGCAGACAATAATGGCGGGAGCCCGCGCTTTTTTCCCCGCTTTCCCCCGTCACTTCGTCATAATGCGTTGGGAGAGATCACCGAACAAGAGAACCCATTCAGCCGGTTTTCTTTGAGAGAGATGAGGGCATTTTCGGAGAGAGCAGACAAAATACACCCACTTGATGTATACGTATGGGCTTTTGGTCTGGGCCACAATTTTCACAATTTTTTGGGCCTGAAGGCTAAGGATGCCTTGTGAGCTGTTGGGGCACCAAATCATTGCACACTGGTACAAGATCTGAAGCAGCACAAAATCCTCAATGTCCTTATTTTCAGAAGACTCAACCAGTGTTTCCAGTAACTCCTCAACATATCTCCTCATGCTACCAGCTTCTTGTGTGTCCTTGGCCTTCTCCTTTGACTTTGCCTTTAGCATTTCTTTCTTCTCTTCAAAATATTCCCTCCAAAGCCGGTTGTGCGGGTGTCTATTCCCGTAGATCAATTCCCCATCAATAGGGAAGCCCGTGTGAGTTTGCACCCACTCTTCATCAAATTGGACTGAAAATATAGTCCCGCTTATGGGATCAGAAAAAGAGAATTCATCAGTTTCGCCAACATAATGGCTGAGCACATGCTCTAGTGCCCGTCGATCACGTGCTGGAGGTCCGAAGAATACATAGTGCTCAAAGTTACTGCCCTTGTAGGCATCCCAATGCCACTGCTTCAGTTTTGGTTGAAGTCTTTGCATGAAAGTACAATATGATCCAAGACAGGCACTAGGCCGTATATCACCTTCGGCTGTAGCTTTCCTGCATAAACAACTATTTACTCTTAACAAGTCATTCAACTCCAAAGTAGGTAACAATTAACCGTAAAGGCATTATCTGAGTCAAAATTTCGTTTTATTAACATGAATAGCTAATACTTGACACTTATGCATAAACGTTAACAACAACCAAGATTTATTGACATGCATTGCAACTAGCTATCAACAAATGAGAATTATTTACATGCATTTGTTCCAAACTGATAACACTTCGTATTGTTCAGATCTTACTCCAAAATTACGAAACTGGTTCTACACTACAATAACCAGTCTCTCACCACCATTTTATTCAAAAAAAGATCCCATAAACCTCAATTAAAATCAAAATCACTCATTTAAACTAATTAAATTCAAAAACCCTCAATTGCTTGGGAACTTACTTCTTCTTTGAGATGGACACATCCTCCAGCGAGCGTCTCCTCTTGCTTTCGCGAATATCCAGACTTTTCATGCTCAATAGGGTTTCCGTCGCCTCGTTACTCTCCTCATCCTCAGAGGATGTCGGAGCAGAATTGCCGGCGGGCGATATCAAGGCAGAGGCGGAGGCGGATAACTTTGGCATTTCCTGCTGCGCCAATCGTGCCGACCGACGCCGGTGACGAACGTCCCGTTCCGTTTGAGTGTTGTCCACTTCATACTTGCTACGCTTACGGTTCTTAGCCATTTTACTTAAATTTTTTTGGGGCATTTTCAAAATAGATTTCCTAGCCGCTTGAGTGAAACTAGGGTTTTGAAAATGGGTTCGAAAGCTAATGGAGGTTTGCGGTGAAGAAGATACAGAGAGAGAAGAGAGAGAGAGAGAGAAGGCGGAAGGGGGGAACGGGTACAAAAGGGTACTTTGGTCTGAACGCCTCAACTTTTCTCTTAAAGTTGTCTTGGAAATGAAAAAAGGGCTGATTAAGTATTAAGTTTGGTTTTGGGGGGTTTGTCACACCAAAAAAAATACAGGGGGCCTGCCCACATCCGCTTTTTTGTTTTGGGGCCTTGAAACATTTTTCCCATATTTTTAAGAAACCAATTTTTTATTTGATTTTAAATTTTCCACTTAACATTATTATTTGTGAAAATTAACCAAGTTTATTTTCTAATTACGCATTGTAAATAGTTAGGACCATCCACCCCTGGTAAAATTCCTGCTTTGTAGAATACCCACGACCGACGATCTCGAGTATTTAATAAAGCAGATTTTTTAGAAATCGACCAACTAACGGTTTAGGAGATCAATGTTTATAATTAAATTTAAATAATTTAAAAATTGTCTAATAACAAAATCCTTAAATTCAAAGGTTAATTTTAAAAAGTAAGAGTTGAACAAGGCTACTATTAATAGTATCCAACATGCAGATAATATCAACCGAATTTTAAAATTTAGAGTCCAAAAATGAAAATCCAAGCCGAAGGATGTGATTCATTACAAATGAGCTAACTAGAAATAAACTTTTAAAGGATTTCAATGCCACTAACCCATGTATAATATGTCGTCAAAATCAACGAATCAAAATTTTCACAAAGTTGCTTAATTTTTTGCCCCTTGGTACATGAATCAAAACACGTCCAAACTCTTTAAAATTTATTTCTAACAATTTCAACATCATTTAACCCATCTATCATATGTCATCAAAAATCAATGTTCCGGAAAAGTTGCTTAATTTTTTACCCCTCGAAATATAATTTGAAACACATCAAAACTCTTTAAAATTTTGTTTCAAAGGATTTCAACATTATTAACTCATATATCATATGTCATCAAAATCAACGTTTTAGAATTTTTATAAAATTTCTTAATTCTTCACGCATTGATACATGATTCAAACCACATCAAAAAAATTTAAAACTGTTACTTAATAGTTTATGTATAGTAGATCACATTTACCTATTTGATTTTTTTTTATTTGGACTCCAAAATTTAAAAGTGGATAGATCGTATTCGCATTGTTAGA